TTTTTTTTTTTTTTTTTTTTTTTTTTTTTTTTTTTTTTTCAGTACCCTCAACTCTTCACTGGCATTTTGTCCCCTTGGAAAGGACTCTTATTATATGGACCACCAGGTAGGATAACATTTAGATAGTGTTTTTTAACTGAGTGAGAGTTTCTGTTATTGTCCTCCTTTATTTTACAATCGATGGAAGTATTCTTAGCTTGGGTTATGTGCATTTTTTGGTTTTTAAATTAAGGTCTAGACTATCTGTGTACTGTTCTTTCATAGAATACTAACCACATATTAAACGAATCGACAGGTTTGGAATTTCAACGACACTTTTTTTTTAGTAGAGGCACTTACATAATTATTTATCTTTCATCCTTGTAAGGAACTGGAAAGACCCTGTTGGCAAAAGCTGTGGCAACAGAATGCAAGACGACGTTCTTTAACATCTCGGCTTCTTCCATTGTAAGCAAGTGGAGAGGAGATTCGGAGAAGCTTGTCAGGGTATGAATGTTATTGTTTATATTGTTGTTCGTTATCTATTGCGATTGTTTTTATTGCATCCGGACAATCAGATTGTTTCTTACAAATGAATGAGTGCTTAAAAAAAAAAAAAGAAAAAGATAAGACCCAAACATGATGCCGTTTGCCGCATTAGGGAGAAAATTGAAGACTTTCAATCCAATTCTTCTAACTTCTGGGAAACTAGCACATTCTAGGAATCGAGATGCAATCATCGATTCCAAAGATCAAGCGCCATTAGTGCATATGTACAGTTGCTGTCTCTGAGGTACTTCACTGTGCTATGTGATTGGTCCAGAAAATCTGCGCCACTCTCTACACCAATCAGGTGCAACACTAAATCCAGTTATGACTTGGTCACTTCTCTTGTTCGAAACGCTATATCGGCTCAGAAACTCTGCGGTTACCAATGTACATTATCAGCTCAGTTAATAAATCAAATTATCTGATTTTGTATTTGCCTGTTGTAAAATACAGAGTCGCTGTTACGCACGCAGAAGTACATTCCACCGTTGTAGTTACATATATATATTTCTGTTTTAGGTTTTATTTGAACTTGCGCGCTTCCATGCACCATCCACGATCTTCCTTGATGAGCTGGAATCTCTGATGAGTCAACGTGGAACAGGAGGAGGAGGGTAAGAGCTGACCGAATTGAAGGGACGGCACGCGAAACTCTTTAGTGGAAATTGAGTCAAAATGGTTGCATAGAAACCAATCCCCGCCTCGCCCTAGTCCGAGCGCATAAATAGTATAAATAGGACCACATTCGCGCGCGTTTTTAAAATTGCAAGGACTTCGCTAGTTCAAAGTCGAGCAACGTTAGTTTTCTACGCACTATTCCCAAATCATCAGGTAATGTCTCCTATGTTCGCTTGTTTCACATTTCATCCTGTGTTATCCGTGTTTCCTATGTTATTTCGTCGTTGTAATTAGTTGTTCCGCTCTTAAATGTATTATGTGTGTAACCTTCGTTCAAGAAACCACTGGCAACTACAAGTTTATTAAGAGTTAAAGAATATCAAATTTCTTTACGTCTTCGAATATTTGCTGGTGTGTCGTTAACAGGTTGTTTTTGTCTTCTTAGAAGCGAGCACGAAGGTAGCAAGCGAATGAAGACAGAACTGCTTGTACAGATGGATGGACTGGCAAGATCAGATGATCTTGTATTCCTCCTGGCTGCTTCAAACTTACCTTGGTATTAGCGACAATAAATGGTTTAAAGACAGAGGTCAGGTTGGGGATTGTGAAAAATGACGACAACTGACTTTACGATATAATTTGGGTATATCAACAAAGTTGAAATGGTAAATTGGCCACCGTAACGATTCCAGAAGCTGACGTTTCGAGCGTTAGCCCTTCGTCAGAGCGAATGACGAAGGTTCGCTCCGACGAAGGGCTAACACTCGAAACGTCAGCTTTTGTAATCGTTACGGTGGCCAATTTACAATTTCAACTTTGTTGATATATCCAAATTATTTCGTTACCCCCACCGATGCAGCCCCAAACAGTTTCTTTAGAAACTATCAGCCTTTATTCATTTGACTTTACGATAACCTGAACAAGAGTTCATCTTTAGGTTGATGAGGATATTTGCTCAAACTTTTTCGAATATGGCGGCTGATAAAATTAATTGGCATGACGATCCGTACTTGGCCAGACCTAGTATAGAATTGACCAACCACTGTTAAAGGAAAATTATAAACAGTCACACTTTTCGCGAAGAAATGTGAAGCTTTTACCTTTGACTTTGCTTGAAACATGTTAAAATGGTTGAGAACCGTTTGAGTTCAAATCAACTGAAGTCCTTTTACCGTTAATTCTTCGCATTCATCCCAAAAGTTCAAATATGTATGACTATTCTAGCTGTTTGACGATCAATTCGCACACCTTCAACTGTGCTGCACTCTGATTCATTCCACAGGGAGCTTGATCATGCAATGCTGCGTCGTTTAGAAAAGCGAATTCTGGTCGACCTTCCTAGTTTAGAAGCAAGGGAAGCCATGTTGAAACAATACCTACCTCCGTCAATTCACTCAGGGGAAGGAAGCGTTGAAATAAAAACACAGATCGACTATGGAGAACTGGCTAAGGTAACAATGCAAGGATCACAGGAGAATATCCTCAAGATATTCTGAAGTGTTTACACTTTCTAGGCCTCAATCCTTCATTCCCCTTCCCCCGTGGGGTATCTCGTCTCTGTGTCTCTAGGGAGGGGGGGGTTTAAGGCAAGAACAGGGTTGGGACTTATTTTCGAAACATCTCGAAGATTTGTACAAAATTTTCACGTTGAAGAGAGCGTTTTCGTTATCAACTTAGGTTCTTACAGTAAAGTAGGCAGCTGACCACATAATCACTGATAGTTGATCTGTTTGTTCTTTACAGCGCACAGAGGGTTACTCGGGGTCTGACATTCGCCTTCTTTGCAAGGAAGCGGCCATGAGGAAAGTCAGGAAGATATTCGACCTGTTAGAGAGTCACCAAGCTGGTAGGCACGCTCTAAACATAAGTAGCAGTTGCGTATTGAAAGGCGAATAGAAGCGGGTCATTATATATCTCATTTTGTTACTTTTGGATAAAAAACGCAAGTTTTGATCTTTCTTTTCCCCGTGTCATGTTCTACTTTACATCCCAATCTTCAGTAAATTTGATATTCTTCTCGGTTACTCCACATGATCAATTTATTTTATTTTTTCCCTACTTCCCTTCCTCCCCTCCCCCCCTCCCTCCTCAGTTTCCTGTAAACTTATCGCGGCGTGTACGTTAAGTAGCTACTCGTATGTCACTGTTTCAATGTTATGTTGATGTGTATGGTTTATTCTTTACTTCTTTGGTGTTGTTTGCGTTTGCAAAGTGTTGTTTCCAGCACCTTTCCTCTGATGTGGTTTTCAAAATGGTTTCATAATTTCTTACCAATTGTTTGATAGATTGTCACTACCACACTTTTTGTCGTAGTCTTGGAAATGGTACAACAAGTGTGGAATTTCATCCCAAACAATTGTTAATTATTTCTTTTGCTCATAAGGTTACCACAGCAAGAGTAATTAATAATTATATTATGAGCTGGAGATCTATATTGCGTGATAGTCAATTTGGAGAAATGGAGAGCGAATAATCTAATTGTAGTTACAGAGCCATCTCAATTGTAGTCAGCGTCTCTGAAGGTTTCGTTGTTGTCTTTCACAGAGGGCTCAGACGGCCGTGCAACACCGCTACCAAAACTGGAAATTGAGCCCGTATACACTGATGATGTAGATGCAGCGTTGAAACACACAAAACCATCCGCCAGGCAACTAAAAGGAAAATACCAGGATTGGCAAAAGGAGTACGAATCCGTGTGATGAAGTAATTCTGGGAGAGAGACAACTTGACCGTCGTCTACCATATAGTCCAATAGTGTGACCTTCTGTCATCTGAAAAGTTTGCCAGTGATAGTCACTGCTCAGCGGTATTCGACAAATGTGTCGTCAGAGTCGTTCATATTGGTCACGGTGTAATGGATAGAACAAACCTACATGTATATTCAGTTCTCGCTGCACAGGTGTGTGAATGGTTTGGACACGGCCTTAGTTGGACATTTAGACAGGATGTCCTGCAAGATCACATGATGCTCGGACCATCATCTGACTTGCTTTTCAGCTGAAAAATGTTCAAGGAATTTCTGTCGGGTGATTATTTGGTAATATTTCATGAGCTTTAGGAGCGTCTTTGAATAGCTACCCAAGTGATTATAAGAACGCCTGTATATTCTTTCAGAAACATCGACAAATCGCTCGGCGTTGATTATAAAATTGTCTTTGAATTAACTGATACATAGTGGAGAGTTATTTTGGAATGAAAGAGTATCTAAGAACCTGAACTAAATCAAAATCTCAACGGACAGTCCGAGCAACGGTAAATTCAGAGTTAGCTCGCGAGACGTGAAGGCAAATGAACGTAACCGACCGCGATTTGTGTAGGAAAAGGTAAGAATTTTGCTGCAGGCAGCCCCAAGGTGCGGTAAGCCACAACTGTTTTTCTCTCAAAGTATGCCATATTCAACTGAGAGATTTTATTAACAAGAAGTATTGTATAGGAAATACTGTCAGATTGTAAGATTTCTTGTTCCAAACGCATATGTTGGGAACTACAGGTAAAGCAGCACACAAGGGACACAATATTTGTTTGATGTAAAAGCTCCTGCACCAGGAATAAATAATAATAATAATAATAATAACTTCCTAATGATAATAACTTCCTAAACATGTAGATAGACTGATGCTGTTCCTGAGTGTTTTATTTTGTAAATAAACCGACTCGTTTGAGATTCTTCTAGGTTCAATGCTGAGATTACTTGGTATCAGACGAGTGCGGTGACTTGTGAATTTCATGACCGCACGTCCAATATTTTCCGTCCGGCCCCACCGCCCAGTTAATAAGCACTTAATATCACCGCCTCTCTTCACTTTTCTTCGATTCTTCTGGTGTTAGCATCTTTCGAGGCTGTACATAGCGCCGTGCAAGTTTTAACGACTCTGCCCTCGCCATCACGTATGGCACAAATACAGAGATTTTTTTAATGTCTTCGTGTTTTATTTGTTTATCTTTTTTTCAGTGAAGGTGCCCATGGTGCCTTACGGGTTATATGTCGATAAACTTAGACTTAGCGCATGGAAAATAGTTTCAACCCGAAGAACTGTTCTAAAATAGATAAAGATGGCAGGTCGACCGATTTTTCTGCCACAGGTGAAAACGGGGTCTCAAATGTTTTATGTTCAACTTGTTGAATATACTACATGCCGACCACCTAGAAATATAAATATGGCCACGAAAATATGATGATTTGCATTGCGACTTCATAGTCAAACATTAGTCCTCTAGACTCGTAAAACTGATTTATATCAATCCGTTTTAGAGATTTTGAGAGAGGTTGACCGGTTAGAACATCTATGACGGTCATTGTATAAGCATGCTAACTGATATTTTTTAAAAGGACCACGTGTTGAGATATAAATAATTCAATCGCGCAAAACGAGGAGAACTAACAATTTTTCTCGTTAAGGCTAACAATTAGGAATCTCTTCCCAGGCCACACTTGAAAATATTAAAAAGCCTAACCTTGGAAAATTCAAAAGAAGACCTTGAATCATCTCTCTAGCTCTTGTGGTTGTATCAGTGAACCTTTTTTGCATCAAATGTAAGTACTACTCTATCTTAAGTGTTTCCGGCTTCCAATATATATTAAATTAAGATATGATATATTTGATTATCTGTAGCTGCTAACTGACACCTCCCTCCACTTCGATATCAAAAGAATTATTTGAAGAGCGCAAAATCATTAAGACTGAACAGATCTACGAGGTTGAATAAATCGAGGGCCACTCCTCCTTCCAAGTACCTCTTTATCTCTTGCAATCCGTCGCTGAGCAGCACTGGGATTATCACGGGCTTCCCTTTCTTACTTCCAAAAGGTGTAAACTGCTTGCAAAATACCATATTGAGAAAGTGATTCATTTTGAAGAGCAACTGTTGATAACCCGTTAAATACGCGCTCTTTATGAGGCTTGACGAGCTCGACTGAGAAAAAAGAAAAAACTCGGTCCAACGGTTGAACTGTTTTTCAGTTAAATGCTTAAGCATGAGTCGCTGTTCCCCATGTTTTAGCTTTTTCAGTCAACGAGCTTTCTAAGAAATGCTATGTTATTTAATTGAAACATTTCTTTGTAGACTAGAAAGTACCTTGAGGAGGATGGGAATTCATTTTTATTGCTATTATTAAATAAACCTCTCGAGAATTGATGTTTACAAAATCTTTATTACCGTAACTTCGCCTTTGTTTGTTTTTGTCAACCAGTCTGAATATATGACAGCGAACTACTTCACTACCATCGGACGCTGCTGAACCTTATTCACTCCTGGACATTATTGCTTTCTCCTCGCGTCGTGTAATTTCAAACTCTTTATACTTTTACATTTTCAGATGCTGAACAAATTTTCTTTTCATTTAATTGTCATCTTGTCGGTGTTAGTTATCGCAGGTCACTCAGGTGGGTGCCAGCACCTGCTTTTGTAGTAAACGAGACCTGGCCAGATTTTGCTATTGTTTTACGATAATGAAGGAAAGTTTCGCAAACTATCGCATACGAACAGTTAACTATTTATCGCTGCAATTACCAATACGGTCAACTAATCAAGACTGGCGACTTAATCTTGTGATTAGGATCAAGATAATGAACTTAGAAGCGGCGATAAGCGATTGGCTTGCAAAATCACCTACATATTATGTCTCCGGCTCAACTTTCAAACCTTTACGCTGAGAAATGAAGTAAAATAAAGTATAACCTATCACTGCTATATAAAACTACCGTATGAAAGACTCATAAAAGTTATTTACTAATAAAATTTGCAATTCACGCACTTCAAAATGAAATGCGGTCCAAAAACTCATGGTTTTGATAGTTTCAGTTTGCGTGACAACAAAGTCATTGAATGGCTTCTTTGAAAAGCTTCTAGTTTTCTCTTACAGGGAGTATCGCAAAGGTTGTTGACCACAGTAAAGGAGTGTACATGCATGATCATCCCGATTTCCCATCATTCACAGGAGGTAAGTGCGTCAGTCAAGTCTGGATGGAAAAGTGGTAACAATTGAATTGAAAACCATGAACTTGAAAGCACCTAACTCAAACAAGTTCTTCCCTACTCTCATTCACTCATACAGGTCAAGCCATTAAAATTTTAGAATACTTTTGAGATCGAAATAGTTAAATTATATTGGAATGAAAGTCGGAGAGATTTCTTCATGATGATTAGAAAAGATGAACTCATAATCTTGCGACAATCAGTATAAAGCAATGTTTGTTTGCTGATACTGATTTTAAATAATGAAAATGTATGAAGACAATATATAGCCACGACTGAGTAGGGTAGACACCTCCAACCTTATTGCAGCTACCCCACGGTCCAGGCTCAACTAGATTAAAAAGGCGTTTGAGCGGATTGATAGCATTAAAATGAGAATGAGGGTCAAACTTGTATTGTTCTCTTAAAAGAACTAAACTGGTCACTGTCCAAAAGCGGAAGCATATCATTGCTTATTTTTATTATCATGATCATGGCCTGTTTCTGTCGCATGATGCCATTTAGCTTTGCTACTAACACCTTGCTAGACCCAATGCTACTCCCCAGCCTTGCGCGGATATCCTGGGTCGAGTGAGGCGTGGTGAGAATAAGGCACCATCACAATGGACTGGCCCGGGCTCGAAACCAGACCTTTAATCCGCTGTAGACCATGCAACCAAAGTGTCAGACATGAGACTTCCTGAGTGATCGCTAAGTAACTTCTCATAAATTCCGGCAATACGTACATCATTTTTCAAACAAGTGATGATAATAGAAAGAGCTGTTAAGTAGATAGTGTCATCTTGATATTACGGCAAATTCTCCCAACAATCTAACGAGTAAATGTATGGATACGGGAATTGAGAATTACTAATTAGATCATTACCTTATTACCAGGGCCTGGTGGTCCATACCGCACTCACTACCTTCATTCTCGGTTTGGAATTGGTCACAGACGGAGGCGCGCAGTTAAGCACGAGGAAAGTAACCTACAAATGCTGAGGTATGTTCTGAACTTTTTATCCACCAAACAGGACAAACTGACCAAACTGACTGACTGACAGAAATCTTTGAAAAATCGAAAAATAATAAAAACACACACACAAACACACACACACACACACACACACAAACAAACAAGAGAATGACACTAAACAAAAACAGAAAGAAGATCGAAAAATATACAAGAAAGAAAAAAAATCCTAGAAATAGCTTACTTAACTTTATTATCAAAATTCGATGCACCACAAATTAACTTTGAAAATAGTTATGATCATGACTTTTTTTTTCGCTTTCTTTATTACTCAGACCTGAAAAGAGGGAAGATGGATTCTGATCGGTCCAGGAAATCCTCACTTTATAACTTATTCACGGCTACTCCTTTATACAGAACTTAAAAGATCATCGGATATGAGAGAAGCGTTTAAAGAAGATCTGACCGGAATCACGAAATATGATTACTAGACTCTAAACACTTTTGCACGACTAGTGCAGTCTGCGGTTACAAGAGGACATAATATCTTGGCAGTTATTGTTGTATATCATATTACTTACATCTTAATTAACGTCTCTAATTCTAGACAAGTGTTCCACGCCGGATTTGGTAATATTCATTATTTATTACATGCAATTTTAAAGTAACTCTTGACGAGATATCATTGGCTTTGCTTCACACTAGATCACACTCTCGACCAATCAGATGTAAATAAAAGCTATTGTGTCTGGTTCACTCACATTTTTTCATTTGGTTTTATCTATCTACTCTCTTCTGATTGGCGTTGAGTTAACTTCATTTTATTTTTCTCCGTGACGCTCAATCGATCGAAACGCTTCAACTATCAATGCGACATAGGGACCTCTTCAATTATAAAACGGGAAACTGAATAAGCCCCCGTGTATCCGTTATGATTATCATTTCCCAATCCGATACACAGTCCAATGTTGATCCCAACGCGAATATTTCCTTTACGGATGTTATCATAGTAACCCGGCTTCTACTGAAAGAGGCCGGTAACTTGCGGCAACTTCATCTCGAATAAACAACGCTGCCTCAATAGGTAAAGGACCACTGCACTCGGCACTATTGAAGGTAATATACCGGCGCTTACAGCAGTGTTTGCAATTTCCAAGAAAAACATTCCCTTGATAGACCACGTGTAGGGCGCTGTTGTCTTTGGTCTTGTGAAATTCGCATTCCTGACACCAGAAAGAAGTCAATGTCAGAACCTGAACTTAATTTGTACTAATTAAAACACGTTTCTGATCAATGATGTTGCGGGGCTTTGTGGTAAAAACCTGATCACATTGCACTAGTACGTGCAACTGAAGCCTTTGTATACTATGGCCCGGCACCCTCTAAGGCTTACTATGTACTTATTGCATAACTGAGTGGGAGGGCCAAACGGAAACGCAATTGACTCGAGGTCATAACGTACGGAACCAGCTGCACCGAAGTCCATACATCGTGTCGGAGAGCTTACTATTTCTCGTCCTTCTCATATACCTCAATTTTTATCTTATCACCTAACTGTCACACTTTCATGTTGCTATTTGTGCTTCCTTCTGAGCTCGCATTTCGCGGGGTCGTGCAGTTTTTTTCGGGCCCTACTCTTGCCATCGCATAAGCGGCCCTAAAACGGAAAGTACTGCCAAATGTTTTTCAATAAAAGCGCGCGCGGGGCCGTACACATCATATGATACGGATACAATAGATCAAGCAACAAAAGAAACTTATGTTCCGGACATAAAAAAAAAATCGTGGAGGGGGGAGGAGGGGGGAAAAACTGTGGCACTGCATATATCGGTCGGGGTATTCGAGATAATTTGGTTTTATCAACAGAGTTGACGTTGGAGATATTTCAGTATTCATTGATGATCTATGCCTTAACAAGACCAATGTCTTTACTGTCTCCTTCTCTCCACGCACACTGCTTCCAGTTTCTGTATTCAATTATCGAAATGCTGGCTCCCGGTTCGCCCTTAAGACCAGGTAACCCATGCCTACCTGTCACGCCTTTCTCTCCTTTTGTGCCATCTCGACCGTCACGGCCTGGTAACCCATTGCGTCCATTAATACCATTACGTCCAAGCAGACCAGGACTTCCTTGCAGACAGACGCTTGGACTCTGTTAAGGGAACAGATGGATGGCTGTTTGTAAACAAAACGTGCGTTGTAGACTCCCACCTTTTGAATTGATCTATGTGACGTTGTACGTGTTAAAGCAGTATCCGTGTCGGTGGCTGGCGGTGGATATCTTCCTCTCCGTTCCGCGGCTCGGTAAATGTTATCACCCACTACTAGCCACCTCTTCTTCGGTGAATAGAACAACTACTCTTCTCCAAGAAGCCGAAGAGACAGAATTGCGCGTCCAAAGTTCAATTTTCAACCGTTTTTCGGTACATTGACAAAAATAAGACAATACTTTGGTTTCTGTGTGGTATATGCTAAATACCGTCATCTCAAGGTCGCTGAAAGCGGTGGATATTTACTGAGATTCCCTTTGACGTGGTGGTAACCCAACAACTTGCTTAGCTCTTAATCTGTTCAATAAAGCTGATGTTTCGGAAACTGGAAAGGGAACAGAGTCATTCATTGTTGTTATTTGGTGACTGTCAAAAAACCATTCAGTTAATCCCTCCTTTTTGGCAAGGACATCGCATCATGTGACTATGCACAAATGTAGAAATGGTTTAAACACGAAGGCGCGCTATATAAGGAAGTCTTCCCTTGGAAGACCTAGGCTCATTTGTCACTCACCGTTGACGTGTGCGGGTCAAAAATAAATGCTGGTAGACGAACAAAAGGAGCTAATGGTGGCATGAGGTAACGTGCGAACCACCTGCTTCGCACCACAAATAAAGACAGTTTCCATTGGAGAAAGGAAATACAAATCTCAAAAATTCTTGTATTGTGATGAAGACATAGAGAAATTTTGAGGAATGCGCCCGCTGTTCACTGCTTTAGAGTAGCTGTACCTCAAGCTGACTTGACTCTAAGAGTTCAACATCACACGACGGTTGATTGACAAATGGTCCAGTGGGACCTAAGGCTCCTTTAAAAGCGCGCCTTCGTGTTTAAATTTGAACGTGACGTCATGCTAACATAACAGATACGAGTTCTTGTTGGGCACAATAATCACGCCTGTTTCAACCTGTTCACTCTAAGAGCTCTCTTAATAAAACAATAGCTTATTGAAGAAAGAAAGGAAACATCTGTGAAGAGCGTAGAGCAAAGAAAATCCCGATGCCCCATGAGTGTTTGAATCCCGACATGTTCCGATTTTTGAAGTATCAACTCGGTTTGGAATTGGTCACAATTCGTTGGGTAGCTATAATTAAGCGACGCATTAGAATTCCTAATACTTCAATTCGATCTCATGCTCCAGTTTTTCTTCTGAAGACAAACATCGACATGATGATGATGCTCTTTGATTCCTGAAAGTTTTGGTCTAGCAACTTTTACAAAAGTTTGGCGAAATGCAGTAACCTTGAGTACATTTCGAAAATAATTTGACGAGATCACGAGTACTCAAGAAAGTATCATAGTGAAACAGAGAATCTATTTCTGAATAAGAAATTAAGTGACGTTTGTCCTCGTCGTTTCATTTTTTTTATTCTGTTCCCTTGTCTTTTTTCTTAGTTTTCACCAAGTGAGTTGTACATATAGTTCGCTTTTATGTCAAGACAGACTATACTTCACTTCAAGACAATTTAGTTTATCAACTCTGTTGATAATGTAGATTGGCCACTGTCAAGAGATAACTTCTAAACTGAAGTTTCGAGTGTTACTTTCAAGGAATTGTGGGTTATGTGTTGATATGCAGAAAATAGAGTTACGCTTTTGAGCTCCTCTGCACTATTACTTCTCTTGAAAACGCGAGGAAGAAGGAAGAAGATAAGGGGAAACCTCTGTTTACGCTCTCAAAAAATACGCGTAACTTAGTGATAGTAACCTTACCTTAGCAGGCGAAGATTTGGTTGTGATATTTTCTGCGTCTGCCAAGAAACCTACACATATCAGCGTTGTTGAGAAAAGAACAACAATACAGAAAGGGCGCTTCATCTTAGTGCGACTTGATCGATTTTTCCCGAATGAAACTTTTCAAACTTACGGAATCAATATATCATGGACAACTTAAATGTTTTTTCGTGTTTATGTCGGGTTTAGACAAAACTTTGACCTGCCTTTCACTGTTTATAAGTATATATATTGTGAAAAGTTCCTTTGCGACAAAAATTTATAACGACAAAGTCAGAGGGAAACTTTTTTTCCAGATGGGCTCACAAAAACACCATTTTCAAATACTTAAAAGCATGTGTTGATATTTTCACTGATTGTTATCTTTCACTGCTGGCTAAGAGTCATATTGGGGTTAACCATTAGCCGTAAAACGGCAAAACAAATTAACCGTTTTTTTACTTTTAATCGCAATAGAAAGAAATTAACCGTTAGCTCTGAAATCACCCCATTGAGAATTGAGACCCACTTAGCAAGATTTCATCATCGAAAATTTGGCAATAGCACTTCATTGGATTATGTTCGGGCATGTCAGTCGGTCGTGAAGACATCAACCGGTCAAACGTCACCACGGGGCTCTATCTACAACGTGATGGATTGTTGGTATTTCCTCTAATCATCTATGTATGTAGCTATCACTTACAAATCATTAAACTCACAGGCGTTACGGGGACTCTGGGATCAGCATCTATACCTCTGTAAGTTTCAACAGATTTTCTAATCCTTCGACTTGTGCATGATGCACAGTCGAATTGAATTCTTTGCAAGAGAAAATTTATTTCAAAATCAGTTCAGTTTTAAATATGTAATCGAACATAATGTTTCTACATTGTTTATAAAAGTCTTCAAAAATTACATTATTTATTTAGCGGAACGCTGTACATGCCAAGAACAGGCGTTTGGTATAAAAGAAAACAAGTAAAAGCGCATTTTACATCCTCAAGACGATTTTAACCACGCAACAACTCTGGCCAAAAAAAATATTGCTAGTTATCAAAAGAATACCCTTCACAATTCTTGAAGTAAACTCATTGTTACAAGTTACAGCAAGCAGGTTGTCAGGTGTCTTCATCGGATGATTGTTCCAAGGCACTTTTGGGAAACCCGGCTGTGGCATGGTCCGGCTGCGCCTACAGTGAATTTAAAAATGGAAATTAACCCTGCAGGTGAGGAAATACTAGTCCTGATATCATAGAAGACTTTTGTCGCGTTTTGTGATCATCGATATCACACGAATAAAACGAATTCTTAAGGGATGGTATGGACTCTTTCTTCAGACTGCGAGACGAACGGTGTTTTTTCCCAGATTTCGCCCTGGTCGTTCTTTTTACAGTACCTCTAACAATTCTGAATAGTTTTGATATCCAGTCGTAACACACAGCTACGAAAATTAGAGCTAATTTCCCTGTCCTTCTGTCTGATAAGGAAATACTGAGTGCTAACAGAACTAATTTGCTTACCATTAAGTCGAGAAGTCGGTCGCTGATCATCTTAATATCTTGATTTTTCAGAACAAGATCATTCTTTAAGCTGTAAGAAACAAGGACGATGTTGATTAGTGATACCGCCCACACACCGCCTGTTTTGCACAAGCCCAGTCTCTTAGGTAAAAACTATAAAGCAATAAATGACCAAACTAACCGCCAAGAAGAAATTACGATCATTCAAGACTAGAACCAATGGTTAAATGAGAAAAAAACAAAAAATACTTATTGAGCCGTTCGTAATCTTCCGAAAAGTTTTGAGCTTACATGACAGCCTCATGTCAAAAAGAGCATTCTGAATGTTAAAAGTTCTGTTATAAGGGTACCAATGGCCAACGTACTCACCGTTCAAGCTTGGCTAGTGCAGCTCGCTTCTGTTTCTGGATTTTCAAGCTCTCTTGCTCAGATGTTTCTAGGACTCTGAAAATAAACATGTCCATTAAATACCTTTAGATTTGCAAACACACACAAAATAAACAAAAACCAAACAAAGTGAAACAAAAAAACGGCTATTAACTCTGTAACTCTTTCCCTCATTAAATGGAATACCTTACCCAGTGACCTCTCTCGCTCGAGACTGAAAACTTATTCTCCTTCCTGAGGAACTTACATTTCTCTGTGAAAGTGTAGTGTGATCGTCCGGGTGAGTGTAGTCCTGAGAAGGACTGTTGTCGGTGGTAGTGACTGACGTTTCGAAT